ACAGGAGCTACATCACGATGAGGTTACGGTACTGAGAGTTAAATACATCACAGGGAGGGTGTAATTATCCTGAAATGAACCATTACAGTCCAGGAAGTGAAATAATTAAAGTACTTCATACTTAAAGTTACACCTGAAAGGACTGGATTGTTGTTAATAAATTGCTGTAATGTTGATTTCACTGTACACACACACAGATGAAAAAATATTTATATAGGTAATATACAGAAATGCTTCTGGAGAAAGTCGAGTTTGATTTAAGGATATTTACATGGTATATTTTGCGTGTGACATTGACAATTTCTCTTTGAACAGTTATATGATTTGGCTTTTGGAATCTCAACATTTACTGTTATTAAATAATTATTGTCTGACGACCCCCATGATTTCCCACAGCTCTGAACATTGAAATTATAAACATTGAAAAAAGGGCTTAAAAATAAATATTGATATTATCTATTGAAATTAAAAGAAAGAAATAGACAAAATGAATTTTGTCAAACCCACTTAACAGCAATCACAATATGCTAGGGGATGGAAATTCACAGCTAAGGCACCCAACCTTAATTCTGCCCTGTAGTGACACCAGGCAGTCGCCAGAGGGCTATGAATTAGGCATTTTAGTGTATAAAGTTCCAGATTAGATCATACCGATTTATAAAGACACATGAGATCTTTTCCTCAGGATATCACCTTCACTAGGTTGAGTTTTTTTTTTTTTATTGGTAATTCCCAGAAGTCAGTAGATAAATTACATTCTATCAGTTATGAAGTTGCCATTTCATATTTCTGGGGAGTGTCTATAATTTTGCACTAGGGGCCAGGTCCTTGGAGAGATGGAACCTTGGTTTCATTTTAACTTCTCCATGCTCAGCAGCTTCTGGAGTTTGGTTCAAAGTATTTACATGTTTCCCTGGCCTGTTCTTAAAAGTGCTGCTTTAGAACGTGGGGAAGGGCAGGAACTGACTGCAGGATCAGTAGCTGAGTCCCTTAGATATTGATAGCTCATCGGAAGAAGGACGGGGATTGGTGGGTGTCTGGGGATTTAATAATAAACACACAAATATCATTGTTCTTAGTGAATTTTCATCTTCTAGTTCCCATAACCCACTAATTATCCCTGGCTGTCCCCGGGAGTCTGGGGAGGGAGTACCAGTAAACTCCCGTGGCCAGTGTGGCACCTAAGGCACAAGGATCTTTCAGTGGCTGGCTTAAAGTCACCCAGAGTGAAATTCACTTCACTGGATAAATCCCTAGTTGCTGAGCTCTGCAGAGGGGTGGGTAGGTGAATTCCATCCCCCATTCTTGAGCATGGACCCCCCTCCAATTCTCACCCTGATCTCAGACACTACCCCAAACTTCCCCTACAGTGATGCTGCCAGAGCCATCTGCCATGGGACCTGGAGGGGACAGAGGCCCAGCTCCAGAACTACTACCCGTGCCCACAGCCCCCATCCTGTGCTGGAGTTGCCCTGACTTTCCACTCTGCAGATTGGTCTAGCTGTACCCAGCCCATGCACCCGCTACACACAAACTTTCTCACAACACACATCCCAGGATCAGGAAAGACCATCTGGGGCTGGCTGCAGTCTCCCTTTGCTGCTGTGAGAGGAATGGGATGGTCCCTGATATAGGACACAAACATACCCAGGGGCAGAAGGGAAATGTAGTTTCTTCCAGGGGATCCTGAGCTCTGTCTTCCTGTTTGACTCCTTCTACCACTTTCAAATCTCTTGGAGAGACAAGGTGGGTGAGGTAATTTCTTTTAGAACCAATTAAAAATCCCTCTCTTTGATATCCTGGGACCAACATAGCTACAACAACTCTTTTCCCTTTGTACCCCCTCCCCCTCTCATCCCCCCCTCAGCTGAGACTGTCCCATGTGATGGGAGAATAAGGGTTCAGTCCTGTAGCTGGATTGGGTCTCACCAGCACTGATGGGAGTGAAAGCCTGTGTGCATTAATGACAGCAGCAGCTCTGGGACTCTGAGACACAGGGAGAAGAGATGGGAGTGAGCAGGTTATGTTTGTGCCAGGTGTGAGTTACTCGTGTGGGAATTCTGCGCCACTGCGTACGCACAGAATTCACGTCCAGCACAGAATTTCTTTCTTTTCTTTTTTTTTTTGCATGAAGAAAATAAATTCTGCCCGAGAAGTGCTGCAGTTCTGCCTTTCACCCACCCTGTCGCACCAGAATAGCCAACAGCCAGCTGGGTTGATCTTGGAGGGAAATTGTTGCCCCGAACTATACCCCAAATAGGAAGAGAGTTAGTGGGTGTAACTTTGAAGAGTCCTCAGACATGCCTCTGGGGGTGGGGAGAGGGTGGTCATTGTCTACTCGCAAGAGGGTGTGAAAAGGGCACAGGAGGAGCAAGTGTCCCCTATGGAGACTGCCCAGCCCCAGGTTATCCAATCCCAGATGCTTCTTCCCCCACCATACCCCAAACCTCTTCACCCCTCCAACCATCACTGCTCCCCCTTCCTGACTGGTAGAGAACCTCTAAGCCAATAGTGTGTCAGGGCTCAACCCTCTGACTGAGGCCTCGGGGCACTTTCTTCCTCTCTGGGGGTACCATGCCACAGGGGTCCCACAAATCCACATAGCTTAGGCTTTGGCTTCAGCCCCGGCTGGTGGGGCTCAGGGCCCTGGACTTCAGCTCCATGCGCTGGGATTTCAGCTTTTTGCCCTGGGCCTCAGCGAGTCTAATACTGGCCTTGCTTGGCGGCCCCCCTGAAACCTGCTAATGGCCCCCCAGAGGGCCCCAGACCCCTGGTTAAGAACCACTCACTTACACCACGAATCACAGCAATGTTCAGGTTACTGCCAGTCATAGAATATCAGGGTTGAAAGAGACCTCACGAGGTCATCTAGTCCAACGCCCTGCTCAAAGCAGGACCAATCCTCAATTAAATCATCCCAGCCAGGGCTTTGTCAAGCCTGACCTTGTCCCAAAGGACCAGTCACTTACTTAGGTCAATTGAATCTTAGATCTCACAACAAAGACAATGCTTGTAGCCAGTCCTGTAATAACCTGTATTAAGATTTATTTAAAAGGAAATAAGAGTTGTTTACAAAGTTAAAGCAGGTAATCATATAGATGCAGACAAGTTACAGTCTTAAATTTCAAAAGGTAATAGAAGCTTCTATGATAAGCAAGCTCTATATCTTCCTAAGGACTAACCCAGGCTAATCAGCTGGGGATCTCTTGCTTATGCCTAGAAACTTTGCCCCCCAGAGTCCAAGCATCATATAGATAATCTGTTCCTTCTGTATGGGGTTTTTATCACCTTCCTGCCATGTGCTCTGAACTGCAAACTCAGCTAATGGGAGGTAAAAAAACATCTTTTGTCTTCTTTAACATCCCATAATAGTCTATCTGGTGTTGATGGACCTTTCCTGCGAGGCAGGATGTAATGCATTCTGTTGCCAATCAGCACTTCACATAGGTAAAGTCTCTCTGCTGTCTGCTGATTTACATAGTCACAGAGGCTCACAATGCAACTAGTCAGATATTAACCCAGGCAGCAACTCACGAGCATTCAATGAAGTCTAAACACATTGTTATAATCCTAATACCTCTTTTAACAATACTAACACAAGTGAGCCAGACTGATTCCAGCTATACGTTTGTCCGTGTTCAATTAAGACATGGGGGCTTTTTCAAGAGCTAACACCTCATCGGCCAGTGTCACAGGCAGGATGGGCAAGGATGGTATCTCTAGCCTCTGTTTGCCAGAAGCTGGGAATGGGTGACAGGGGATGGATCACTTGATGATTACCTGTTCTGTTCATTCCCTCTGAAGCACCTGGCATTGGCCACTGAGCAAGATGGACCATTGGTCTGACACAGTGGGCCCTTCTTATATTCACAGTCTCTATCAGGAGTATCTACTCATTTAGACTCACTGAGGAGCCACAGAAAGAAACAAAGTGTGCTGAGGCAAGAAGGCCCAGTCTCAGAGCCCCCACGTTCACACTTGTCAAAAGCTATAAGTAGGCCCAGCCCATGAAAGGGGGCACTCCCAGGAGAGACTGTATAAAGGCTGAAGCATCAAACAACTTTGTAAACCTGAGACAGCTGCCTTGGGGACAATGACAGGGAGCATCCCCCAAAGTGACTCCTTTGATTCTGCTCTTCTCTCGCCTTTGGCTCATAGAATCATAGAACTGGAAGGGACCTCGAGAGGTCATCTATTTCAGTCCCCTGCACTCAAGGCAGGACTAAGTATAATCTAGACAATCCCTGACAGGTGTTTGTCCAGCCTGCTCTTAAAAATCCTCAATGATGGAGATTCCACAACCTCCCTAGGCAATTTATTCCAGTGCTTAACCACCCTGACAGTTAGGAAGTTTTTTTTCCTAATCTCTATCCTAGACCGCCCTTGCTGCAATTTAAGCCCATTGCTTCTTATCCTTTTCTCAGAGGTTAAGAACAATTTTTCTCCCACATCTTTGTAACAACCTTTTATGTACTTGAAAACTGTGATCATGTCCCCTCTCAGTCTTCTCTTCTCCAGACTAAACAAACCCAATTTTTTCAATGTTCCCTCATAGGTCATGTTTTCTAGACCTTTAATCATTTTTGTTGCTCTTCTCTGGACTTTCTCCAATTTGTCCACATCTTTCCTGAAATGTGGCACCCACAACTGGACACAGTACTCCAGTTGTGGCCTAATCAGTGCGAAGTAGAGCAGAAGAATTACTTCTCGTGTCTTGTTTACAGTACTCCTACTAATATATCCCAGAATGATGTTTCCTTTTTTTGCAACAACATTTCACTGTTGACTCATATTTAGCTTGTGATCCACTATGACCCCCAGATCCCTTTCCGCAGTACTCCTTCCTAGGCAGTCATTTCCCATTTTGTATGTGTGCATCTGATTTTTCCTTCCTAAGCGATGTACTTTGCATTTGTCCTTATTGAATTTCACCCTATTTACTTCAGACCATTTCTCCAGTTTGTCCAGATCATTTTGAATTTTAATCCTGTCCTCCAAAGCAGTTGCAACCCCTCCCAGCTTGGTATCATCCTCAAACTTGGTAAGTGTAACAGAGACTGTTACTGGGAGGGTTTCACCATTTCTCAGAGGGTTACACCCTGGTGGGAAGGGGCTAGGCCTCTACTGGAATAAGGTCACTCTGTGCTTCACAGTGTGGCAGATCCTAGAATGTCCATTAGCAGGGAAAAATCCTGGGGGGAATCGGCTTGTGAAATGGACAAAAGCCCCGTCTGAATTCTCTCACATTGCCCTTCTCGTCCTGTCAGGCTACAGAATAACGTCCACGTTTTGCTCCAGATCCTCCCATCCTCCCTGGGGGAAGGAAATGGCTGCAATGGAGCTGGCTCAGGTAAGAGATTATCAGGGAGCTGGTGGTGGGCTCTGCTTGGAGGGAGAGGAGCAGTAAAGGCATAGGAAGGTGGTAGCTGCTACAGGTGGTGGGAGGCAGGAAATATCTAGGGTGGAACAAGGGAGGGGACAGGATGTGACAAATCTGCTGAGACTTGTGTAATCTAGGGTGTGATGGGTTGTCACCCCCGGGGTGCAGTCTGGTGGGCTTCTGGGAACCGCTGTGCCCTCTAACCCTGAAGCTGGACTGGCCCTTCTCACACTGCTTTGCTGGAGATTCAGCCACCCTCTCCAAGCCCTGTTATCACCCAGCACAACAGCAGGTGGCGCCATACACCCAACTAAGCTACCTGAGTGCTTTACCTAAGCCACTCAAGGACAGATAGAAGACAACAGCCAATTTCCCAGCTCCCCAACATTGCACACTTGCTGTATAGTAAATTCAGAATTATACCATCTTATAGTTGCACAGGGCTCTCTATAATGTAAGCTCATTAATATAATTCACCTTCCCCTCGATATGGGAAAGATACGCACAACAAGCTTGTGCTAACCAAGCTCAGATTTTCCCCAGACACTTCACTCAAAATACTTAACACTGGTTAAGATGAAGCATAAAACAAGTTTATTAACTGCAAAAAGATAGATTTAAAGTGATTATTGTTAGAAGAAAAAAGGAGCAGGTTTACCCAGAGGCGGATATCAGTACAGGCTTCTTTATTGCGATACTTGTTCCCCTCCACCCAATTGTCGAGTAAGCACTGGATTAGTTACATCACACTGCTTTTATCTAAGAGATGATGTCACACCCCACCTTATGTAGCTTTTCCACATGGCGGGAACCCTTTGTTCCAAACTCAGTTCCCAGTTCAATTTGTGGAAAAATAGACGTAACAAAATGGAGTTCAGTGTCATGTGGTCTGGTCACATGCCCTAGCATGCCCTGCTGAGTCATCGTAGCCATGACTCATAGGCTGGCTGAAACATTCACAGGAAGGCTAAGCTCTTCTACGGTCCATTGTCTTTGTTGATGAGCCATCCGCACTGTCTGGCTTCTTCACTGTTGTACCTGAAAGGCTAGTTGTGGGTGTTACCAAGAGTAAGCACATTTGAAATACAGATACATAGTCAATATTCATAACTTCAGATACAAACATGATCCATGCACACTGGTAGGATAATCATATTCAGCAAATCATGACATTTCCAATGACACCGAACATGACGCATCTTGCACAAAATGCATCATAATTATGTCCTAATCATATTATAATCACCCCACTATCCTGAATATGGGGTGTAGTGTGAGATAGGGCCTAATTTCAAGGCACAGGAGTTGGGAATGGAACTTTCCCTCTTTGTGGAACAGGAAATTGCCCTCCAGCCAGGGCTAGGAAAACTTCCCAGGCTCCCAGTGCTGGAGCCTGAATCTATTGACACTTCATTTGTTACCACCATCCCCAATCTTTGTGGCAACTGCAAACTTTATCAGTGATGATTTTATATTCTCTTCTAGGTCATTGATAAGAATGATTAAATAGCACGGGGCCAAGATACAATCCTTGCGGGAACCCGCTAGAAATACATCCACTCGACCATTGTTCCCCATTTACAATCACAGTTTTAAATCTATTTAATGTATGCTGTGTGTATTTTGTATCTTGCTAGTTTTCTAGTCAAAATATTGGGCTGAACCAGGTCATATGCCTTACAGAAGTCTAGGTATATTACATCAGTACTATTAGCTGCAGCCAAACTTTTGATCTCATCCAATAAGGGTATCCAGTTAGTTTGATAGGATCTATTGTGTCTAAACCTTTTGTTAATTGGTAGTAATTATATTACCCTCCTTTAATTCTCAATTAATGAAATTCAGTATCGGCTGGTCCATTATCTTGCCCAGTATCAATTTCAGACTAGTACTCTTGTAATTAGCTAGGTTTATCTCTTTTACACTTTTTAAATATTGGCACAGCATTAGCTTTATTCCAGTCTAATGGAATTTCCCCAGTGTTCCAAGTCCTAATTAAAATCAACATTAACAGTCCTCCACACTCCTCCACCAGGTCTTTCAAAACTCTTGGATACAAGTTATCTGGACCTGCTGATTTAAACATGTCTAATTTTAATAGACATGTTTAAATCTGTTTAACGTCCTCGTGAGTTACTGTTGGAATGGAAAGAGTGTCGTCGTCAACATCTTATGATATGACTATATGACTGTTTTTCTCCAAATACAGAAGAGAAATATTTATTGAACACTTTTACCTCTTCTGCATTATTTTTGATAATTCTGTCATTTCCATCTAGTAATTTACCACTACCATTGTTAAGATTAATGTTGTACTTAATATACTTTTAAAAACTTCCTTTTTATTTTCATTGGTTGGTCATTGATTTCTGATAGCTTCCCTTACCAATTTTCTACAATTCTGACCTTCTCACTTATATTCTTTACTATTGACTTCCCCTTTCTTCCATATATTTTATTTGGAGAGTGTTGGGATTCCTAGCAGGGAGCCACCAGCAGGGTACAGAGACAGCCCCATCTCTTATATCAAGCTCTGGCTAGTAGGTATGTGATAAATGTGAAGACCCTGCCTCCGTCTGTCAGCTGGGAGACAGGGTCTCTCTTTCCACCCTCTGATGCCTCCTGGCTGCTCTAGGCAAGGTGGGGGTGGGACTCTGTTAACATGTGCCTTCCGGAGCTTCCATTTACCTGGTGCTGCTGTTCCGTGAATAGTGGGGCTGTGACTGGGGCAGCAGGTACTGAGTGTTGGACTCTTTCTCTTTCAGGGGCCGGTGACTTTTGAGGAGGTGGCTGTGCATTTCACCAGGGAAGAGGGGGCTCTGCTGGACCCCACTCAGAGAGCCCTCTACAGGGATGTCATGCAGGAGAACTATGAGATGGTGGTCTTGCTGGGTAAGGAGTCCTGTCCACTCGGATATTAGAAGCTGTGGGGTCTCTAAAGGACCTGAATAGTAATAACTTTATACCTTTATTAATTATACAAGTTTTGACAAGTTTCTTTGCCCCCCTTTTTTTGCCTTATCTCCCACCCACTAGAATAATTTTTAGACATGTGCTTTTTTGGTGCTATCAGTCATTTTAAAATTGTATTTAATTTATCCTTATTGAATACATTAATAACTAGAGCTTTCATGACTTTTCCTCATTTTAAGAGGAAAATATGCCACCTGTAGAATTCTAAATTGAGTAAATAGGTGTATGACTCATGCATGACTTGTGTGACAGTCAGATGAGCTCATCTTTTGATAGGAGAGCGTATAATGTTGCCATTCAGGACCCCACAAGTGAAGGGAGAACAGAGCCATGGGAAGGGAGGAGAAGGGGGGAGGAGATAATTCTGGGGTGCCAGGACATGGGGAATGTGTGTTCAGAGTTACAGCTAAGAAGCAACAGGGAGGGATGAGGTAGTGAGAGACGACGAGGGAACTCCCAAGGTGCTGGGAGGTGGTGCTGGCTGAGAGTAATGGGAAGAAGGGGAGGGGAGTATGGAGGAAGGCATCCAGGAAGTGGGCTGGATGGGTCAGTGGGAGGGAGGAGAGGTTTGGGGATCTAGAGCTGTGGGGGATCTCAGACGTTTAATCCCGAATCCCTACCCAAGCCTTGTTGCTTTAGCGCCTACACTCCAGTTTTATTTCTCTTTATTATACATTTTCCCCCCAAATATTATTATTTTAACTCTTGACCTCCCTCTCCCACTCATTACCCCCCTCCCCATCTAACCTCCCCATCTCTGTGCACAGTGATCCTGGCCACCGATCCTGAGTCCTTCCTGCATTCCTCCCTCCCACAGGAGGGCCACGACCAGGGCACTTTGCTGATGATGTCACAAGGTGGTAGTGTAACCTGTACGGTTTTTACATCTATAATGTTACGTATTGGGGTAAAACTTGCCGTTTTACATGGCTACTCAAAGTTAATTGAGAAGATGAAATTCGGTGAAACACACTGAAACTTGATTTAATACAGACCATTATAATTGAAATCATAGGCAAGGATTAATACACATAACGATTAGACTAAGATAAGTATTGTAAAGAGGGTCTTGCACTGTGTATACTTACAAGTTATGGACACCATTGGAAACAAAGATCGAGAGGCAAGGGAGGCCCTGTTTCAGTTTACACCGTCTCGAGGACCCAACAAAATGAAAAAGTGGTAACTAGGAGAGGTATTTTATCCACTTCCTTATGGTAATAGGATGGCTATATACTATATCTGCTCCCTTACTCTGATTACAGTAATGTCAATAGCTGCCCCAACTCATATGTGGCCTTTGGGAAGTCCATAATTAAGCATCAAGCATTAATACTCATGATTTACATCACTTATTTATTAATAATTCCAATATATGAATGCGGTCCAACTGCTGAGATACTGCATAGCAACCTAATTGCTAAAGCCCTCCCCAAACTTCCTTCTTTCAGAATCCTGTGGCGTGTTGCACCTGTTTGTGGTTACTCATTAGTCTCTCAAAATGAGGGTGCAAAATATTTGACCTGGGATTCTCTCCTTAGGCCTATTCAGGTAAATACTAGACTTCAGTATAACTACTCCCACAAAGCCTGAACCTAATATAAGGCTCAATAACCCATTTATTTATGTTCACCTCCTTGCTTCTCCATGCATGTTCCTGAGGTTACGTGGCCCAGTTCTTGTTTCCTACAGTCTCCATTTTCCAGAAGAATTAGAGGCTGTTGTTCCTGAATTTTAGTGTTTAATTCCCCAGCCTTCTCAAACTCCCCCAGTGTGTGAATTCTCCCTCCCATTACACCTGAGTAACTAGATTTCCTAATTCCCCAAAAGGTGCTTTTGCGATGTCACAGTTCTGGTGTAGCTAAGTCTTTGACCTGCCTCCATGGTCTGCTCAAGGAATGGCCTCTCAGGTATCAGGCCTCTAGCCAGCCCCTCTCTATGGGTAGGGACCCACATGCCTCTCCCGTTTGACTAGGGTTTGAGGATTGCAGCTTATCTTCCACTGTCTTCACTGGACTAACGTCCAGTTCCTGTGCTTTGCTTTCTCTCCAAGGGCTGTGAGCAGTGTGTGTGTGTGTGTGTGTGATAGAGGTGGGAATTTTGGTGCAGGGAGCTCTACCGCAGCAAAGACAAATGGACAGGCACAGTAAAAGGAAAACAAAATGTTTTCTACAGCAGCAGGGCTCAAGGGAATTGGCCAGTATGGACTATATTGTCTTCTTTGCTTCTCAGTCCTAATCTAAGGACTTTCCAATGCTGTGTTTCAGTTGACTAATAAACCCTGCTATGTTTTAAAAGTCTGCCCAGTGTCACAGCAAAAACTTTCTGAGCTGCACTAAAGCATGAATGAGGAACAGTCTCTGAACAGGAGTGTCATTCAGCTGGACCTGCTGGCAGAGCTCACAGGTTGAAATAGGAGTGTTGAAGCCAGAGGCTCAGTCTCAGGTGTTGAAGCTACATGGTCTATCCTTGTGGAAGAGTGGGACCCCTTGGGGGTCTAGCACACTCAAGGGGCACCTCCCAAGGACTGTTTAAAAGCCAGGGCATTGCACAGATCCTATGGATCCATGACAGTGTGCCAGAGGTTAAGCCTTATGGATGAAAACGTATAAAACAAGAAGACAATCCAAATGCATATTTACCGTCGTCCCCTCATGAGTCCTCTTGGTAATCCCTGATAGATTTTAATACACTTTGGAACTGTTCTTAAAGGCTTACCTCTTGGTTATCAGTTCATGTCAGTTTGTAGCCCCAACCCCCCCCCCCCCCCCCCAGTCAGCTCAAAGGCAACTGTTTCTCCCAAAAAAGTCTATCTGTCTTTCAATCTGCTGAATGAGGTGAAATCAGTCACTGCCCCTTTCTGAGTGGGGCAAAGCTTCAAAAGATGAAGATCTGCATAACCAGCCTTTAGATCTTGCATTCATCACCTTTTAGTGATACCAGATTGCACAGGAATCCCATCCCTGAGCCCTCCCCGGTATCATCTGGCCCATCTCAGCATCATAGTGTGTGAAAAATTCATGCTTTCAAGGGCTGGATCAAATATACAGATAACAGTCATAACTAGGACCAGTGTTTGCTGGCAATGAAAACAGAGTATTTGACAAACATGAGCAATATATAATCCTTTAGCATGTGCTGTGATGGGTTGGATCACAGTACCCCCCTTGGGAACTGCCAACCGATGTGCCAAGACTACTTCTGCTCCCGCTTTCCTGCCCTGGTAGGGTGCTGGAGTCCTGAGCTGTCTTGTTGAACCAGACATGCCAGTCTGCTCCAACAAGGACCCAGGGTCTGAACCACGTGCCCCAAAGCTGCAGACTTAACTGAAAGCAGCTCACAGAAGTGTTCCTGTCTTTAACACTCAGATGCCCAACTCCCAATGGGGTCTAAACCCCAAATAAATCCATTTTACCCGGTATAAAGCTTATACAGGATAAACTCATAAATTGTTCGCCCTCTATATCACTGATAGAGAGATATGCACAGCTGTTCCTCACCCCACCCCCCAGGTATTAATACATACCCTGGGTTTTTTAATAAGTAAAAAGTGATTTTATTAAATACAGAAAGTAGGATTTAAGTGGTTCCAAATAGTAACAGACAGAACAAAGTGAATTACCAAGTAAAATAAAATAAAACATGCAAATCTAAGCCTAAAACAGTAATAAAACTGAATACAGCTAAAATCTGACCCTCAGAGATGTTTCAATAAGTTTCTTTCACAGCCTGGATGCCTTCCTAGTCTGGGCACAGTCCTTTCCCTTGGTACAGCCCTTGTTCCAGCTCAGGTGGTAGCTAGGGGATTTCTCATGATGGCCCCCTCTCTTGGTTTTGTCCCACCCACTTCTATATCTTTTGCATAAAGGGGGAATCCTTTGTCCCTCTCTGGGTTCTCACCCCCTCCTTCTCAATAGAAAAGCGCCAGGTTAAAGATGGATTCCAGTTCAGATGACCTGATCACATGTCACTGTAAGACTTCATTACCCACTTGCCAGCACACACATATACAGGAAGACTTACCAGTAAAACAGAGCCATCTACAGACAATTGTTCTGGTTAATGGCAGCCATCAAGATTCCAAACCACCATTAATGGCCCACACTTTACATAATTACAATAGGCCCTCAGAGTTATATTTTATATTTCTAGTTTCAGATACAAGAGTGGTACATTTATACAAATAGGATGATCACACTCAGTAGATTATAAGCTTTGTAATGATACCTTACAAGAGACCTTTTGCATGAAGCATATTTCAGTTACATTATATTCATAATCATGAGCATACTTTCATAAAATCACATAGAGTGCAATGTCACAAGTGCATTGGGGGGAGGGGACAGAAGCCAGCTGTGTGGGGGAGGTGGGGCCCAGACACTGGGCATTGATAGCCTAGAGCCAGCTGTGTGCTGGGGAGACGGGGCATGAACCAGCTGTGTGCAGGGGAGATGAGCAGAGGAGAGGTGCTGTGGACGCAGTCGAGAGCAGGTGCGAGCGCCGTCCTCTCTGCAGCATGATGAGAGAGCCTAGTGTCCTACTGCCAACTGCCCTGCCTGCCATGGGGAAGCTGCAAAGTGGTTTTGCTGAGCCCAGACTTCTATGAGGAGCAAGTCTCAACAACAGCCAGCCTCCAGTCTCTGCCCTGCTACCTGGGGAGGAGTCAGGTGTCTCTGGGCAGAAATCTGGAGGGTTGTGACCCTGCATGCCCCACCCACCCTCTGTTCAGCAATTCCTGATATGAAGGGTGGTTCCAGAAATGAAGAGTAATTTCAGAAAAAAATACAGTAATAGCAGCAATTTCCAGAAAACACTGGCCCTCGTCGTAACATTAAATACAATAGTCACAAGGTGTATGCCTCTGTTCATCAGATCGGTCACTCTGCCTTCACATAGTTCACTCTGCTGGTGGGTTCTACCCCTTCCCCCATTCTGTGTCTGTCTTGTTTATTTAGATAGTAAATACTTCAGGGCACCAGAGAAGGTTTTGGAATTAATTGACAAACTTAACAGTAACAAGTCACCGGGACTAGATGGCATTCACCCAAGAGTTCTGAAAGAACTTAAATGTGAAATTGCAGAACTATTAACTATGGTTTGTAACCTGTCCTTTAAATTGGCTTCTGTACCCAATGACTGGAAGATAGCTAATGTACCCTCAATATTTAAAAAGGGCTCTAGAGGTGATCCCGGCAATTACAGACCGGTAAGTCTAACATCAGTACCGGGCAAATTAGTTGAAACAATAGTAAAGAATAAAATTGTCAGACACATAGAAGAACATAAATTGTTGCGCAAAAGTCAACATGGTTTCTGTAAAGGGAAATCATGTTTTACCAATCTATTAGAGTTCTTTGAAGAGGTCAACAAACATGTGGACGAGGGGGGTCCAGTGAACATAGTGTCCAGAAAGCCTTTGATAAGGTCACTCACCAAAGGCTCTTATGTAAATTAAGTTGTCATGGGATAAGAGGGAAGATCCTTTCATGGATTGAGAACTGTTTAAAAGACAGGGAACAAAGGGTAAGAATAAATGGTAAATTTTCAGAATGGAGAGGGGTAACTAGTGGTGTTCCCCAAGGGTCAGTCCTAGGACCAATTCTATTCAACTTATTCATAAATGATCTGGAGAAAGGGGTAAACAGTGAGGTAGCAAAGTTTGCAGACGATACTAAACTGCTCAAGATAGTTAAGACCAAAGCAGACTGTGAAGAACTTCAAAAAGATCTCACAAAACTTAGTGATTGGGCAACAAAATGGCAAATGAAATTTAATGTGAATAAATGTAAAGTACTGCACATTGGAAAAAATAACCCCAACTATACATACAATATGATGGGGCTAATTTAGCTACAACAAATCAGGAAAAAAATCTTGGAGTCATCGAGGATAGTTCTCTAAAGATGTCCACGCAGTGTGTAGCCGTGGTCAAAAAAGCAAACAGGATGTTAGGAATCATTAAAAAGGGGATAGAGAATAAGACATAGAATACCTTATTGCCCTTATATAAATCCATGGTACACCCACATCTTGAATACTGCGTATAGATGTGGTCTCCTCATCTCAAAAAAGATATACTGGCATTAGAAAAGGTTCAGAGAAGGGCAACTAAAATGATTAGGGGTTTGGAATGGGTCCCACATGAGGAGAGATTAAAGAGGCTAGGACTTTTCAGCTTGGAAAAGAGGAGACTAAGACTCTCCTGCCACTTTGAGCCAAGGAAGCTGGCCTTGGGATATTACTACTTAAAAATGATCTGGGCTTAAAATCATGGAATATTCCTTGTGACAACTATCCCACAAATTCCACTGACTTCCCTTGTTTTCTTTGCCTTGAGCAGGGTTTCCAGTTTCCAAACCTGATGTGATCTCGCAGCTGGAACGAGGGGAAGAGCCGTGGGTCCCAGACCTCCAAGGCTCTGGGGAAAAACTGCTCTCGAGAGCTGCCTGCACAGGTGAGGAATTGGTTAAACCAACTCAAAAATTGTCCATGAATACAGGAAATATTTGGGATGTCCTACCAAGACTTTGTGAGCTCTCCAAGTTCAGAATTGTTCCTGCAGATGTGGAATCATTAGGCAGATGTCACTCATGGCTTCCCACGTATCCTGACTGACAACTGGCAGCAGATCCCTCCCCATCTGGCTTTCCCCTGAGAGAGCTGGTAAGATGCGGACCCAGAACTGATCCCTTCCTCTCTCTCTGGGGAAGGATTTGGGGAAAATCAGCTCCTGATAGGTTTGATTTCTCCTGCACATATTTTGGTTTGTTCATCCCCTTTTCCATTCTTCTCTCTGAGATTTCCTTTCTCTCTGGCACAGGGAATGACCTATGTCTGGATTCTCTCTGTCTCCCATCAGGTGTTGGGATGGTGAGCGAGAACAAGGAGAAACCCCATCAGGAAGATGCTGAGCAAGTAGAACCCCACGGGATGTTATCAGGAAGATCCAAAGGGAATGATTCCGGGAGTTGTGCACTCCCAGAAAAAGCAAAAACCTGTGAGAGTCAGCACAGGCCAGAGGAAAACTTCAGTAGCCACTCAGACCTTATTACACTTGAGAGAATGAACTTGGAAGGAACATGCTACACATGCCCTGAGTGTGGGAAACGCTTCAATCGGAGCTCACACCTTATCACACATAGGAAAATCCACACGGGTGAGAAACCTTATGGATGCCCTGAGTGTGGGAAACACTTCATTGATAGTTCAGCCCTTATCATACATCAGCGAATCCACACAGGAGAGAGGCCCTACTTATGCTCTGAGTGTGGAAAAAGTTTCAATCGGAGCTCACACCTTATCACACATCGTAGAATCCACACAGGAGAGAAACCCTATATGTGCTCTGAGTGTGGGAAACGCTTCATTGGTAGTTCAGCCCTTACTGCACATCAGCGAGTCCACACCGGTGAGAGACCCTACATATGCTCTGAGTGTGGGAAAAGCTTCAGTCAGAGCTCTACTCTGATCACACATCAGAGAAGCCACACAAGAGAGACACCCTACACGTGCTCTGAGTGTGGGAAACGCTTCAGTTATAGCTCAGCCCTTAATGCACATCAGAGAATCCACACGGGTGAGAAACCTTATGGATGCTCTGAGTGTGGGAAACACTTCATTGATAGTTCAGCCCTTATCACACATCAACGAATCCACACAGGAGAGAGGCCCTACATATGCTCTGAGTGTGGAAAAAGTTTCAATCGGAGCTCACACCTTATCACGCATCGTAGAATCCACACAGGAGAGACGCCCTACACCTGCTCTGAGTGTGGGGAACGCTTCAGTTATAGCTCAGCCCTTACCACACATCAGAGAATCCACACCGGTGAGAGACCCTACACATGCTCTGCGTGCGGGAAAAGTTTCAATCACAGCTCTACCCTAATCACACATCAGAGAATCCACACAGGAGAGACACCCTACATGTGCTCTGAGTGCGGGAAAAGCTTTAATCAGAGCTCTGTACTGATCACACATAGGAGAATCCACACAGGTGAGAAACCTTATGGATGCTCTGAGTGTGGGAAACGCTTCAATCGGAGCTCATACCTTATCACACATAGGAGAATCCACACGGGTGAGAAACCTTATGGATGCTCTGAGTGTGGGAAACGCTTCAATCAGTGCTCAAACCTTATCACACATCAGCGAATCCACACAGGAGAGACACCCTACACATGCGCTGAGTGTGGGAAACGCTTCAGTCAGAGCTCAACCCTTATTAGACATCAGAAAATCCACATGAGAGTGATCTGCCTTGACTAGGGCAAAAACCACCTGTGCCTTACATCCACTAGGACTGTACTAGGTGTTGGCTGCCCAAGTTAGTGATCTTGGTGTAAAAAGACAATTATAGTTGTAGTGCAGATGCAGCCCAGGTGCAGTGGTTGGCATTAGCTTTCCCCTTGACCTGACCTAAACTCCACCGCTTTTCCTAGTCCAAACAAACCCTGAGCATCACGGTTATACTGTTCCCCCATTTCAAAGCAATTGATAGTCATCAGGTTCCCCCTTTGGCAACAAGTGGTTTCATTCCTAGTTGCTTTCATGTTGCTTCAGGTTGTGCTGGAGAGCAGATATTTTTATTACCATTTTCCTCACTTAAAATATATTGAACTATAACAAAGAGCAGGAACAGGGCAGGGATAGGGAAAAATGTCATTTCACCCTCTGTAACAACAGAAGAAGATAGGGTAAATCAGAGGGATTCCCTTATTTCCCATCACCATCCCAATCCCCCTGTTGTTCAAGTGGTTAGGTCAATATTTTCCCTAAAGGGCTGAGAAGAGGATTCCCTAGTAAATGACTTGTAACTAAGCAAAATACCCATACATTTGGCTACCAAAGCAATTGTGGCCCAGGCCCTGCAGAAGGTCGCTCCTGAAGATATCTCCTTCCTAATCAGGTGCATGTTGCCTATTATTTGGGAAATGCAATCCCTATCTAGGAAGAGATGGGGAAAAATGGAAGTGACATTTCTCTTCAGCTCACCCCTGGGAGATGCTGCAAATGTGTAGAAAATGAAATCCGGGTTGAATGTGATATAGCTGCAAAAAGATACCTTTTTAAATAGATACCTGACATTTGGTGTCTTACAGGGATTCTAAACCGCAACTGAATTTAGTCCCTAATTTAAATCTGTGACATCAGATTAAAGAAATAAAAGCGTATATTTGGGGGAGTTATACCTCACTATCGCTACTGATATGTTGTGTGTTTGGTGAAGAATTCTACACCAGAGAAGTGTAAAATTACTCCAAATAAGGTCAAAGGTTTGACAAGTACTCAGGTAGAAATTGCAGGTACCAGTGGTTGATTTTCACCCTGGAGATGGATGCTATGTTGACCTGTGGCCCAGGTAAACTATTTTTAGAATGCTGCTCCCTAGTTAAGTGGCATTGATCATGGTCCTAAAGGATGCCATGATTAAATTGGGAACAACAGTCTTTTACCATTTGGATCCAAAGTTTCATGAAGCACAGAGAGAAGCAGCTGATTCCTTCAGAACCATTCCATGCCTATGGGTCCCAGTCTGGCTGCCTTGTTGGACAAGAAGCACTTCCATGCTGTGCAAATGATGGTAACCAATGCGGAAGTGTATAAGATTCCATGTTCGGACTCCAGGATACGTGAATGCTGAGTCCAGTCTGTGGTTTGGTCTCTTACGTTTGCTCTTGAGTCTAATGCATCACTTCTCTGCCTCCTGCTACTTTGAAAAATTAGAAAGTGTGAAAATAGAGCACAGGTAGTTTTTCTCATGATGCAACCTACCCATGTAGTGTGAGACTCCTTCCACCCACACTTATGGGAGAAGACCCAGGGAGAAATGAACTCTCAGAAATGGAAGGCTCCTAGGTTATTGTAGAATGTGACTTCACAGAAAGCTGACTGGGTGGAAATGGGAAATAAGAGAAAACTGCCCTATAGGTTCATATTTTGTAATCTTTGAATAAATTATCAGTGACAATGTAATTAAATATGAAGTTAATTAGTGTAAAGTAAGAGGCTGATTATGTGATAACTTTCAGTGTTACAATATAATTCAGGTTTTCTTCTAGTTCTCTCCCTGCCCCTTCCTACTGTATTGGAAATGGTGGCTAATCCTGAAAAGTAAAACCTCACTCCAAAGGAATTAGAGTGGGGGAACATGTGAGAGAAATAACATGTATGAAAAGAGAGACCCAGTATAGACTGTAATTATTTCTATTTCAAATGGAATTTATTTTAAATAAACTTTAAAATAAATTTTCTGTTAAGAGGAAAATTGCTTGGGACCATATGTGTAACCTTTTACTCCGTTAGAGGGTAACAGCCACAGAGTTCCCCAATTCGGTTGTTTGCTAAACAAAGACACATCGAGCAGGAGATGTCAGAATTTAAAATGGTGATGGATGCATGATGATTTATTTTTGCAACCAGTTATTTTTATGGGTGCTGAGGCCCCTTTTCTTTTTGAGGAGGCCAGCTGTTAGAGCACAGCTGTTTAACCCTCAGACCTGGCCATGGAAACCTCCCCATAACTGGCCTTATGTTTCTTTCATGTTTGATACCTTTGGGGTTCGCACGTCCACACTACATGTGGTTTACAACAGCAGATACTTTGAGAAAACTGCTGGTTTAAGCCGGGCTATTTCAAACTGACATTGGCCCAATTGCCTCACTTAAACTGGAGTTGGACACGCCGGTATCGAAGGATTAGTTCGCGCCTGATTTGCCCAGAGACCTTGGGTGAGGTGTGGTAAGCTGTAATCTACAACAATAAAGTTCAAGGTAAGGGTGGAAGTCCTTCAGCTTTCAGATCAACAAGCTGGTTCTGTTCATTCCCTCTGAAGCATCTGGCACTGGTCACTCTCAGGCAGCATACTGCGCTAGATGGACCATTGATTTGATCTAGTATGACCAGTCTTGTGTTCTTATGTAAGTCATCTAAGAGAGACTGACTGCCAGGATCCCAAGACTGATCCCCTCTGGGGAATGAAGTACAACGTTGACAGGCTATGCAGCCTTCACTAGTCTCCCTGTACCTGAAAAGCCTGCTAGCCCGAAGTGCTGGACCATCTATACCATTACCTGATTCCTCAATTGCAGCTACAGTTCCTACTCCATGTGAATCCAAAGACGAAGAGCTGCAGAGATCCAATTCCTTGTAATCTTTGAAATTGCCCTCTTCTAGCAGTTGAGGTGTGAACACCAAGGGCCACACCCTCCCTGATTGAACTAACCTCATTATCTCCAGACTGATTCTTGCCTGCATATTTATACCTGCCTCTGGAAATTTCCATTACCTGCATCTGACGAAGTGGGTATTCACCCACGAAAGCGTATGTGCCTCTACATCTGTTACTCTATAAGGTGCCTCAGGACTCTTTGTTGCTTTTTGTAGTGTAGTGGTTATCACATTTGCCTAACATGCATAAGGTCCCTGGTTCAAAACCAGGCAGAAACATTGCTGCTTTCTCTCCTTTGGTCTTTTATCACTCACAGTCCTTTCTCAAATACATCCATAGCGTCTATGCTTTCTTCCTCGTTATTTTGTTCCTTTCATGGAGCTTTAAGTTCAAAAGGAGAGCCTTAGCCAGCATTTTGAGGGAAGTAACAGACCATCATTTGGGAGAATGCCAGCTACATAACAAATCTGAGCATAGAAGAATCCCAACCCTTTGTCCTGTGTGTTTAGCTCCCAGCCAGCAGTTTCCCCCTCACTTTTGTTTATGTTGAGCTAACTACAAACAGCCTCGTGTATCCTTTTCATGTCAGAGAAATCTATTGACTGATGATCACATTTCCGCTACTTTCCTGGCTAGGCAGGGTTGGGGTGTGAGGAATCAGAACATAATAATTGGAACTCTCTAACCCCTCCTTTTAACATACAACATCACATTCCCCTTTTTAAATAATGTTTTTCCCATAATATTTTTTAACACTCATCATTTTGCTTGTCTTCAAACGATGTTAACACAAGCTCTGAGCTACAAATTTCCTTACTGTTCCATTGGTATTTTTAGCACAGTAAATTGATATAAAAGAGAAACAGAAAACAAAATAATTTCCAATATTATAAATTGAGGACACGTCATTTTTAAAAAAAAGTTTTATTGCCATCTTGTTTTACTCTCGGGCTGGTTTTTATAAATCATCACAAATGCAGTAACGAGGAGTTAGAGAAATATACAAGAAATGAATACCATGTGATCCAATCGATAGAGAGCTGACTCTGTCCACAGCCAGAAACAATCTCCCTGACAATAAAGAGGGCTGGGAAGGATATGACACGGAAGTACCTATATGCCCAATGCAGAGCTGGAGCCAATGTAAGAAGAAGTAGAGAAGCTAAAGATTGCTGAAGGGGGACAGTCAGCTCCTGAAGGGTTATTTTTCCCTCTCTTAGCTAGGCTAGAATAGAAGAGGAGAAAATTCTCTCTCACTCTCAGAAGATGATGGAAATGTCAATTTGTCCTCTCTTCCTCTTCTACTAAATCTCAGAGACAGGAAGAGACATTTCCTGCCTAAGAGCCTCAAGAGAGCAAGGCTAGGGAGCAGGCAAAGCTAAGGGCCCCGTTACATGGCATCTAACTCCTGTCAGCTCATGTGAGGTGGTATCAAAACCCCTCCCTGGGCTTCTAGGAAAGAGTTAGTATTGGCTCCATGTGTTTTCCTGGAAGAACCCCTAGGTAGGAGGAAGAAGAAGTGGAGAGGGTTGTGATGGGCCTAAATGAAAGCAGAAGAGGATTGTTTGTCTTGGGGTTTGTTTATGTTACTCTTGTGACCCTTGTGGAGGAAGATGAGGCATCATTTGAGTTTGTGTCAAAGCCTTTGGTTGGGCTCAGTTTGTGACCCTGAGCACAGGGGATCCTTCACCCTCCATTCTTGTCCCCTCAGGGCAATGGAGAATGGACCAGGTTCTAAAATTAGACAGGAGCCAGAGAAAGCCTAGTACAGGTGATAAAAAACACCCACTGTTACCTCTCTGGTGGTCTAGTCTATTCATTAGGTTTCGGCGCTTTCACTACCGCGACCCTGATTTGATTTCCAGTCAGGGAAAGAAGCTTTTCAACACTTATCTTCACTTGTTGTCTCCTCAATTGATACTTCATCATGCTCAGATGGGATTTGGAGACCATGTGAAAATCAAACAGCCTCATAACAGAGCACAAGTATGTTCCCATTCTGGATCTTTCATACAAGTAGAGCTGGGCAAATCATTTATATCTTTGCTTGCTAGCTAGACTAACCTATATAATAATAATAATAATAATATAGTTCAGGTTGCTCCAAAATTAAATTTTTTTAGTTTTCTTGTTGAAACAAAACTAAAAAAAAAATCATTTTTGGCCCACCAAAATATTTCAGTAAATAAAATATTCATCCAAAAAACGTTCACCCAGCTCTATAGACTAGCCTTCAGAATTAACCATCTGGAAAGAAGGATCAGTAGCCTCTTCCATTCCTGATGTCTAGCTGCTGAAGGGTTCTGAGAATGAACCAGATTTCATAGCCTTCCACCTGTATACCGCTGGTTGCCGTCTTGCTCAATGTGAAAGGCAACGTGATTTAGTGGCAGATCTACGTATAGCCCTCTGTTCAAATGTCTACAGAGTAATATTTGTTTCGCATTGCATACAAAAATAAAATAAATTGTGTTGAAACCTAAACCTGGGATCAAGGTGAAACATGGCAATTTTAAATCAAGGACAAAATCTCTACTGAGTTGAACAGAAGGAAGGCTTTTTCATCAGGTCCTTTCAAATGCTAAAAGTTGAGATGGTTCTTAGAGGTTCCAGACACATAATTGGCCAGAATTTTCAGAAGATCTCACACCCACCACTACAGCCAGATTTTCAGAAGAACTCAGCTCCCAGTTAAGCACCTAAATTTTTGCCCAGTTTTTTATCTTGGGTCAATTTGAATGTCTATTATTGTTATTATAATGTTGGTTAGGCTAGCTGGCAAGGGGGGAAATAATTTGCACATGTCTATTTGTGTAAAAGGGCATGCAGCCTGGACTTTGAGGTGCACAGTGGAAATATGCCCACATTCTGCTATTTGTCAGTGGGAAGCTTTGATTTTCATATGGTCTCCAAAGCCCTTACCAGCATCATTTAGAAGAAGGGGGAGTCAGGAAAAAAATCACACTTTTGTTTGAATTGCAAGTGAGGAATGAACTAAGGTTTTTTGTTGTAAAGTTACTTTCTCTGAACAAGAATTGAGCCCAGGCTTCTGATCCCACCTACAAGATCATGAAATCTGGAGAAAGCAGAGGAGGTTTGTGCTAGTGCATATCTTTTATTCCCCTAATAAGTGAGCAGGGAGACTACCACACCTCAGAAGTCACAGGGCTCTAAGAAACCTGCAACTTTAGGTGATGGTGATTGTGTCTAAAAACCAGCTGTGCTGTAGAGGTCCTCTAGGTGTTGAAAGAGATGTGCCACCTGGGCCTCCCTGAGCAGCTCATAAAACATTTAAGAAAACTAGGGTTGATAAATCAGCTGATTCTGTTGTGTCAGGATGGTCAAGTGCTCTAAAATTCCAGATTCAAGGCATTATCTTTCTCTCAAGTGGGTGTTCTGGTCTCCATTGGAAGCCTGGGTTAATAGCCCACTCCTGAAACAATCATTTTATTCTACATGGAGAAATGTCCTCATTACAATCTCTCTTTTAACATGAGAAATGTGCTTGCTTAGGATTTCTGTTAGAGTAGTGGCAAGAGAAGGGGGAAGAAATTCAAATACCTTCAGAAGCTGCATATTGATTGCACCTAGTTGGGTAAATTCCAATTTATTCTCCAGGAGAAAGTTGGCATTGCTTGAGGGTAGGCAGATTTGGGTGTTAAACATACAGGTGGAGGAAGAAGGGAGCAGTACAGTAAACACTGATAATATGGAATGTAAGTCTCACGGTCTGGGCTTGAGTCCCAAGTTGGGTGCCCTACCGACTCTGGTTTAACTGCTTCATGAGGGCACAGAATTGACTACATAGGAGCAAAGATAGGAGGCAGCTAAAACCAAGAGCCCTGTTATAGTGTGCCACATCCTATGAGGCTGTATCAAAACCCTTCTCTCAGAAATACTATCAACTCAACAAGTTTTTTTTTCTGGAACAGCCTCTAGGTAGGCAGAAAAAGCAGGTGAGAGGATTGCGATGGGGTAATTGAAAGCCGAGGAGGGTTGTTCCTGTTGAAATTTGTTTGTGTTTCTCTTGTCATCCTGGT